AAAGGTATAGAATCAAAAATAAGTAAAGATTAACACATTTTTGGTAACCATCTGGCACAGCACACAACAACTCAGACATTTATGTTTCTTTTAAGAGTAAAAAATTAATTCATAGAGAAGTGCTCTATCTACTTCCTTGGGAACCCCATCCTAGGCTCTCCCTTTCTGTGAACACACCTTGGCTTCCCAGTTTGCCCAGGTAGCAGCTCCCTGGGTGACAGAGGGTCAGAGGACCAGGCAAAGTAATAGATACAACTTACTACACATTGTAATCTGTCAAAAAGTGATCCATTTTCCATATATGGATAAACCAGACAGAATTTCTCAGTCTCTGTAAAATATGCAGCCAACTCCAGTATGTTTGGATGATGAAACCTTGAAACAAAAGATTTTTAAATCCATAAAATTATTTATTCAAATAGGAAATACACACTACTCTGGTTTGGTGGATAGGATGACATGAGCTAATGACTCTAAAGCAGGATACAATTGTGGCCAAGAGAGAATGTCATCACATATATATTTTCCAAATTGGTCTAAAGTGTTCTAAAAACATTTAAGCACTTTTTAATGGCTTGTGGTCATGGAAATACAAACAAATATCCAAAGGTAAAACAGAATATTTAAGAAACGAAAAATTTTAAAGATTTGTGTTGTTTAGAATTTAAGAGTAACTGGCCAACATTATTCAATATTAACCTATGTATGGAGTCCTGGTGTGGTGCTGTGGGTTAAGGCGCTAGACTGTAAAGTCAATTTGAGCAACAAGGTCGGCAGTTCAAACTCACCAACCGCTCCTCGGAAACCCTATACAGGGTTGCCATGGGTTGGAACAGACTCGATGGCACTTAACAACAACAACAACCTATGTATATCATTATTAAGCACAATGTTGTTGTTGCTAAGAAGTGAATTATTTCAGTTGCATTATTTCTAATATACTGATTTATTTTATAAATAAGTCTTATTAAGCAAAACAAGGCTTATTTACTAAATAAATCAATACACTGAAAATAGTGCAACTGAAATAATTCACTTCATTGCTTTAGGTAAATATATATAAGTAATTCAATCAAAGTTGAAGGAAACGGAGACTGTTTTCATTCAATATTGACTGAGTGGTATTATGCCAGGTTCAACACTCATGGAAGCAGCTGTCGAAAAATCAAACGACCTATTGCATTAGGGAAATCTGAGGCACAGGACCTCTTCATAGTGTTCAAGAGCAAAGGTGTCAGTTTGAGGACTGAGGTGTGCGTGATCCAAGCCATAGCATTTTCAATAGCCTCATATGCATGTGAAGTTGGACAATGAACAAGGAAAACTGTAGAAGAATTGATGCATTTGAGTTATGGTTTTGGAGAAGAATATTAAAAGTACTAGGAGAACAAATGAATCTGTGTTGGAAGAAGTACAACCAGAATGTTTCTTAGAAGCCAGGATGGTGAGACTTCATCTCTCATACTCTGGACAGGTTATAAGGAGTGACCAGTAGCTGGAGAAGGACATCATGCTTGGTAAAGTGGAGGGTCAGCAAAAACGAGGAAGAACTCCTCAACCAGATGGATTAACACTGTGGCAACAGCAATGGTCTCAAATACACCAGTTGTGAGAATGGCAAAGGACTAGGTAGTGTTTCATTCTGTTGTGCATAGGGTTGCTATGAGTAGGAACCTATATGACGGCACCTAAAAACCACGTCTTGGTGTGGCGCTGTGGGTTAATGCGCCAGACTGCACAGTTGTTTGAACTGCAAGGTCGGCAGTCCAAGCTCGCCAATGGCTCCTTGGAAACCTTATATAGGGTCGCTATGGGTCAGAACCAACTCGACGGCACTTAACAACAACAACAACAACAATGTCAGGAACTGTGATAAGTGCCAGTCACAGTTAATAGAGACATTCAATTTCTTCACCAAATTTCATAATCTATGTAACTAGTAAATAACTAGTAGAGTTTGATGCTGTGAAACATATCACTAATTTTAAATCAGATTTCTGTCCTGGAGTGGTACTGTAGGATAAGCATTTCACTGCAAGGTGGGTTTGAACTGCAAACTCACTAGTCACTCCATGTAAACCCTATACCAGGTCGCTGTGAGTCCGATCCAAGTTGATGGCACTTAACAAAAACAATAGTATACATTCCTCAAACTTCTTTTCTAGTAATCATTTATTAGCTTTTTAACAAAGACTGCAGTTCAAACAACTTTGCAGTCTGACGAGTTAGCCCACAGTGTCACACCAGGACTCTTATTAATAAAGACACTGTGTCTTACATGAGTGGTCACTAGAGAGCAATGGACCCTATGTAACAACCATAAAATACAAAATCTGAAATTTGCACATACTATGAATCACCCCATTTGGTTTAAGCTTACCAGTCGCTCCTTGGAAACCCTCTAGAGGGTTGCTATGGGTCGGAACCGACTCGACAGCACTTAACAACAACAACAACATGACCCCCACTCAAATAAACAATTTGTTATTGAATGCCTACTATGTCTTATGCACACTTGGGTATATGAAAATAAAGCTATTTTTTATAAGATCTAAAATATAGGTATATAATTGGTTTCTTTAGTAGCAAAACTTTCCTATAAGCATACAAACACACAAAGACTTAAAAAAGGTGCCAAACTTCCCTGACAGAAGTTACGTATAAGACCCCTGTATCTCTTATGATTCAGGCCTTATCTAGAAAATGAAAAGCAATGGGCTAAAAAGGAATCGAGCTGGTATATCTGGCGATATGCAGATGATACAACCTTGCTTGCATACAACCATCCTTCGGTATGGATTGCATCCGAATGTAAAGAAAACAAAAGTCCTCACCACTGGACCAATAAACAACATTCTCATCAATGGAGAAAAGATTGAAGTTGTCAAAGACTTCATTTTTCTTGCATCAACCATCAACACTCATGGAAGCAGCAGCCAAGGAATTAAACAATGTATTGTATTAGGCAAATCTGCTGCACAAGACCTTTTTAAAGTGTTGAAGAGCAAAGATGTCAGCTTGAGGACTAAGGTGCACTTGACCCAAGCCATGGTATTTTTAATAACCTTATATGCAGGTGAAAACTTGACAGTGAATAAGGAAGACCATAGAAGAATCAATGCATTTGAGTTATGGTGTTGGAGGAGAATGCTGAAAGTACCATGGCTGCCAAAAGATCAAACAGATCTGTTTTGGAAGGAGTGCAGCCAGAGTGCTCCTTGGAGGCCAGGATGGCCAAACTTCGACTCTCATATTTCGGACATATTGTCAGGAGGGACCAGTCCCTGAAGAAAGGTATCATATGTGGTAAGGTTGAGGGTAAGAGAAAAAGAGAAAGACCCTCAGTGAGATGGATTGTCAAAGTGGCAGCATCAATGGGCTCAAGCGTGGCAATAATTGTGAAGTTGGCCCAGGACTGGGCAGTGTTTCGTTCTGTTGTGCATAGGGTCGTTATGAGTTGGTGCTGACTCAATGACACCTAACAACAACAACAGTAACAACAATCTGGCTGTCTAAATAACTGATGTATACTACCTGTTGGTTGATTCTCCTGCAATGTAAGACAATTGAAAGCAAAAGAAATCTTTTGAAAAGCAGTAAATAGAAGACGTCATATGGTGGTGGTGGTAGTTGTATGCAACTGAGTTGGTTCTGACTCATAGCGACCCCGTAGGGTATACAAGGCTGTGATTCTTATGGAAGCAGAAAGTCTCCTCTTTCTCCCGTGGAGCGATGGGTAGATTTGAACTACTGACTTTGCAGTTTGCAGTCCTGCTTATAATCCACTATACTACCAGGGCCCCTTGTTGTTGTTAAGTGTTGTCGAGTTGGTTCTGACCAACAGAGACACTGGATAGGGTTTCTAAGGAGTAGCTGGTGAGTGTTGTCAAGTTGGTTCTGACCCACAGCAACCCTGGATAGGGTTTCCAAGGATTAGCTGGTGAGTTTGAACTGCCACCTTGTGGTTCAAACTGATCTGTGGTTCAGTGCTTATCCCACAGTGCCACACCAGGACCCCAGGGCTCCTGAAAAGACATGATATAGACACAATCGAAGTCCAGTGTTCTGATCTTTTGTTCATAGAACAGAAAGGGCCAACTGTGTATTTAAAAATATTACTTATCAAGCAGAAAAATGAGTACCTCAGGAATTTACAAGGTATGGAACATGAAGATGCCATGAAAAGATGGTGGATTTTGAGCTCATAGACCCAACCTATTCATCTTTTTGTTATAAACTTTTAAATCAGCAAGATTTTAGATTATATAGACCTGAAGGTCAGCTAGACCTGATACCTTTCTAAACCAACTCCACAAATATTTCTGAGTGTCTGCTGTGGACTGAATGTGGTGTAAGACATCTTGGTGTGGCAAAACAAGTAGGCAACATGGATTTGAACCTTGGCTCTTCTTTTTATCAGTTGTGAAAATTTCGGCTGGTCAATTAATTTCTCAGAGTCTGTTTACTCAACTGAAAATAGTATGTAAAAGGCATACATCCCAGGGTTCTTATGAAAATTAAATGAAAGGTAAAATGTAGACAATTGCCAGATTGGCAAAAAACTATTTGCTCCTTTCTCTTCCTTTGAGAATGGAGGGATAAAAAGAATCAGAAGCCAGATTCTAAAGAATTTCCAATACTAAATCATAGAGCTTAAGGGATTCTCTTAACATTAAACCAAAAATACACATCATTCAGGTGAGTATAGATGTTACTTCCTCTAAAAAACAAAATCTGCTGCTCTCCTGCCCCAAGTCCAGGTGACCATTTCTTCCTCCTCCCAAGCTCTTTACCTCCTCATCTCATCACCTAATCTGCAGAAATCACCTGTGCCAACCCCACTCCAGATGGCAAGTTCCAGGAAGCAAAGGTCGGGTTAACCTTACTCATAACTAAGTGTCCAAAAAGAGGAAGACTAAAGAAAGTACTTGTAACTTGTAGAAAGGTAGTTTTGACTTCAATTTTCTCATCTGCAATTTCCTACTTATATCATAGGATTGTAAAGAGGAGCAGTGAATTAATACATGTAAAAAACTTAGAGACAAAGACTACATAAATATTAGCAAAATAAATAGTAATGGCATACAAGGAAGAGTCAACATCACAATGCTATCAGCTTTCCCTAAACTGATTTGAAAAGTTAATATAATTCCTTTTAAGAAAAACAACAGGATTTACTTTTTACCTAGACAAGCTGTTGTTATCATTTGTACACAAAATATCTCACTAGAATAACTCCAAATGCATCCAGTATTTAAATGTAAATAAAAAGAAACTGTAAAAGTACTAGGGAAAAAAAATGGATGAGTTGTTTTATAACCTCTTAGTGGCGAAGCTTTTGAACAATGAAATGGATCAGATACTTAAACGTGAAAAATGAAGCCATAAAAGTACTAGGGGGAAAAAGCATGGGTGAGTTATTTTATAAGCTCATAGTGGGGAAAATCTTTGAAATTATGATATAAACCTGGAAAAGAAAGAACAGATAAACTTGACTAAATCAAAACTGTTTCTACCTGACAGAACTAGAACTAACAAAGACAAAATAACAAAGTTAAAAAATTATTTGCACCTCATAATATAAAAAAATAGGGTCCTGGTGTGGCGCTGTGGGCTATTGCGTCAGACGGCAAAGTTGTTTGAATTGCAAGGTCGGTGATTCAAGCTCACCAGTCGCTCCTTGGAAACCCTATACAGGGTCGCTATGGGTCGACATCGACTCGATGACACTTAACAACAACAACAACAATTATCTCTAATCTATAAAATGCTCCAAAAGCCTTTAAAAAAAAAAAAAGGATATTTTCAGATAGTTCATAAAAAAGAAATACATCTTACTCATAATATAAAAAGAAATTTAGACTACACTGAAAAACCATTTTTACCTATCACACTGGCAAAAATGAAAAGGTTAAGAATACACACTAGGTTGGCAAGAATGTAGGGAACCTGCACACACATATGTTACTGGTATAAGTATAAATTTGTATAATCTGTACTGGAAGACAATTTGGTATTATGTCACACACATAACCATTTGGTCTGCAATTTTATTTATGGGAATTTATTCTACAGATATACTCAAACACATACAACGTAACATATAAACAAGGTTTTCTCATTAACAGCATTACTATTTTAATAATAACAGTAGACAAATTTTAAATGCAACAATAAAGGACTAAACAGGTAAGCAAATTATAGTACAGAATTCAGCGGAATACTAAAATAAGTAAAGGAAACTGTGTGTGTGTGTGTGTGTATAAACTACTTCTTATGTAAAAAGAAAAAAACAAGAGAATAAAATACATATTTCCTTAAGCACAGGTATCTCTGAGAAGATCTACAAGAAACTGGTACCAAACACTGTTGCCTTTTGAAAAATAAGCCGTGTAGTTGGATGATAAAAGTGGGAAAAACTCTTTTCACAGTTTTCCCTTTTGTAATTTTTGCATTCATTTTGTGTTGACTAAATGGTATTGTTATGGGTTGTGAATCCTAACTTACAATCTTGTTTGGGAATGGGTTGTCTTTGTGATATTCACAAGACTTTGTTACATTAAAGAGTCTGAATTCCTGTCGGGTGTATTTTGAGTTAATGTCAAGAGAAATGGGGGAAGATAAATGCCAAGACCAATGGTGCTCTCTAAGGAAACAGGAAGCAGGTGTTAAAGAGACAAGGACCTTCCTCCAAAACCAACACAGAAAGAAAACCTTCCCCTAGAGCTGATCTTCTAGCCTCTTAAGTTTTGACAAAATAAATGTCTGTTTGTTAAATCCATCCATTGTGGTATTTTCTGCTATAGAATTTGATGTTAGAAGAGTGAGTTGCTGCTCTATCAGATACCTAAAATGTGGAAGTGGTTTTGGAACTAAGTAATGAATAGAGGCTGGAAGAGTTTTAAGATGCCTAATAGAAAAAGTCCTGGTGTGGCACTGAGAGTTAATGCACTGGACTACAAAATTGGTTTGAACTGCAAGGTCGGCGGTTCAAGCTCACCAGCTGCTCCTTGGAAACCCTATACAGGGTCACTATGGTCGGAATTGATTCGACAGCACTTAACAACAGTAACAATAGAAAAAGCTTAGAGTGCCTCGAAAAGACTGTTGGTGAGAATAATGGACACCAAAGTCAATTCTGGTGAAGGTTCAGAAGAAAGTGAGGAGAGCTATAAAGAAAGACAATATCATGTGAAAGAATACATATGGCTCCAGCAACAGGATGTTACTAGAAATGAAGACACTAAATGTGGTTCTGATGAAGCTCCCAAATAATTGATGAACATGTGAGTAGACAATGGAGCTTGTTGTTGTAAAGTGCCGTCGAGTCAGTTCTGACCCATAGTGACCCTGTATAGGGTTTCCAAGGCGCAGCTGGTGAGCTTGAACCACCAACCTTGCAGTTCAAACTGACTTTGCAGCTCAGCTCATTAACCTACAGTGCCACACCAGGACTCAATGGGTATAGGGTGATGTTTTTATTCAAAGAGCGTATCTAAATTATATTCAAGTGTTTCGTGGAAGGTAGAACTTCAAAGCGATGACTTTAGATATATGACAGATGAGATTTCTAAGCATGTTCTTAAAGGGGCCACATGGTTTCTACTTGCTGCTTAAAATAAATTGTGAGATGAAGGAGATGGACTACATCTAAGGTCTCTCCCATATTTGATTTAGACAATTCAGAAGATGATATTTTGGACATGGAGTTGTTTAAGACTTTTAGAATGATGCGATGGGCTGAATGTGTTTTGCGTGTGTCAAAGACATGAATTTGGGGGGTTAATGGGTGCAATGAATTATGTCCCCCTCCAAAAAATGTATTGTAAATCCTAACCTCTATGCCTGTAATTATAATCTCATCTAGGAATGGTCTTTGTATGTAAATGAGGGTTAATTAGCATAGAGTGTTTCTTGAGTCAATTTCATTGGAGATGAAAAGAGAAGACATCAAGCTAACAAGAAAGATGATTTAAGATAGATGCCAAGACACGTGGAGATGTCCAGGGAACCAGAAAACAGACGCTGAAGTACTAAGAACCTTTCTCCGGAGTCAACTGAAAGAAAGCTTTTCCCTAGAGCCAGCACCCTGAATTCAGACTCCTAAAATGTAACAGGACTCCTGCTGTGACACTGTAGGATCACCACTGGACTGGGAACCACAAGGTTGACAGTTCAAACCCACCAGCTGCTCCTCAGACACCTTAACGGGGTAGCTATGAGTTGGAACTGACTCGGTGGCACTTAACAACAACAGCAACAACAAAATGTGAGAACATACGTTTCTGTTCATTAAAGTAACTCATTTTTTATGTTTTTATCAAAGCAGCACTAGATAACTAAGGCAGGCATATATTATTTGTTATTGTCATTGTTATTGTTAAGTACCATCCAGTGCATTATCCTACAATGCCACATTGTTGTTAAGTGCCACAGAGTTGGTTGCCACTCATATGACCCTATATAGGGTTTCTGAGGAGCAGCTGGTGGGTTTAAACCGCTGACCTATGGTTCAAACAGATCTTGCAGTCCAGTGCTTTATCCTACAGCACCATACCAAGACTCCATATCAGCGCTACACTGTTGTTATTGTTAAGTGCCCTTGAATTGGTTCCGACTCACAGCCACCCTGTATAGGGTTTCCAAGGAGTGGCTGGTGAACTGGGACTGCCACCCTTGCGGTTCAAGCCAGCCTTGCAGTTCAGCAGCACATTAACTCACAGCATCACACTAGAACTCCTAAGATTTTGGTTCTGGTCCTGGGTATAAAAGAAGAGGGATTCAGCATACAACTTGTACCCCCCATTCCACATACTGGTTCAGAAAACAGTTGAAAAGAACATTTTCTATAGGGCTAGGGGCCTTCAGTAAGGCAGGCTGCACAGCTACAGATATGAATGTATATGAAAATTAAATAATTTGTCTCCAAGGACTTTCAGACTTATGAATGAATTCCCAGAAAATAATATGCACATGAAAGGCACTTGACGTCTTTGTCTGAAACTGAAAAGTGCTATTATGATGAAGCAGGTTCTAGACTAGAACGTCTCTAAAGAAGAGAAGAAATGGTGAGCTATATACACATTTCTAATGTTCTAAGGATTCTTTTACATTCAACCGTGTTAGTCACACATGATTTAACTCACTTCCTTGTGACAGTTTCAATGTTCTTGTTAAAAGATGCTTAAGTAAATTATGTAAATGGTCTATTTTAAAATGCATTTAAAGACATATACTAAAGCAGATGTCAAAAATGTACCCAGTATTCTAATGTCTGACCCACACTTATTAAATGTCAGCCATCCCAAACACTGTGCTATAGAGTCAAAATGGAACAAAGATGAAGACCAGCCAAAAAGAATTTGAAGTTCCAAGCAAATTATACTCACAGTAGTAAAACTTCAAGCTCAGATAAAAACCTCTTCCACTGTTTCGTACATTGCAATTTTTTCTCCTAAATGCCATATAGAAAGACAAGAAAAAGAATTAAGAAAATAATCTCTATTTCTGGGATTCACAAGGATTCATATTCCATGATGTCCCTGAAATTATATACACATTTTGATGTGCATGCAGATGAATAGTTTTCTGGGGAGAGTCTCCCAAGGCTTCATCAGATTTTAAAAATCCATTAACAGCCAAACTGATTTGGAACCACTATTCTTGAATTTAAGGATTTCCATATCATTTATCACATTGCCAAATTTTATATTTCAATTCTTGCCATATTTTGCAAAAATTTGCATAAATTCAGAAATATATGTGTTCAAAGAAAATTCCATGACAGAAACGCTCTACTTGAATTCACAAAGAATCCAGTATATGATGGTTGTATTTTGGTTAAACATGATAATATCTATGAAGTTTGCTGCTATTGCAAAATTTTTACTAATATGCAAGATATGCAGGCTCAAGTTTGCCGTTGTATTAATTTTGGAAAAGACAGGTTTATGACACAATGAAAAATCTATCCCCTTACTTCAGAGAAGCTTCCGAAGCTAGTGCAGAGGCTGACAGGAATTTTTATTGAATAAACAATGAATTCAACACCTACTCTGTACCTCACACTGTTCTCCATACTTCAGTGCACTATGTCACTGCATGTTTCTGGGCCTCAGGTTCCTAACCTCTAAGGATTATATTTAAGCATGCTCCCAAGGGCAGCATTAGAATTCTTGTCTCCCATGCAGTCCTGGTATAGCACTGTAGGATTAGCACTGGACTCCTAACCACAAGGCTGGCAGTTCAAACCTACAAACCGCTCCTCAGAAACCCTGTATAGAGTCACTATCAGTAGGAACTGACTCAACAGCACTTAACAACAACCGTGTAGGAGGTCCAGTTTGACTCCCAGCCAATTCACTTCATGAACAACCACCACACGTCTGTCAGTGGAGCCTTGTATGTTGCTATGATGTAATTTCAGTGGCGTTTCCAGACTAAGACATGCTAAGAAGATCTACTTCTGAAGAATCCTACATATCATAATGGTCAGATCTGCAACTTGGACACGTAGGCAGCTATCAAGTATGATCCTAGGGTCCATCTGTCATTTGCAAATTGCTGGATGGGGCAGAGATTTTAGAATCTTATTCTCAGAAATGTTGTTGTTAAATGCTGTTGAGTTAGTTCCTACTCATAGCGAGGGTTTCCAAGGAGTGACTGATGAGTTTGAACTGCCAACCTTGCAGTGCTAACCTACCTTGCGATTGAGTACCTAATCCTACAATGCCACACCAGGATTCAAGAATACTAGATGAGAAATCCAACAGAAATTCAGGAAACTATTTTCCAAGTAAAGCCAGGAAGTCAGAAACAATAAATCAGACTAGCAAACCATTTTCAAGACCCTCTTCATCAGAATTAACAATTTATAACAGCCTAGCAGTGTAGGATAAGCACTGGACTACTAATCCCTCAAGTTGGTTTCTGGTACCAGTTGCTCCTTGGAAACCCTATACAAGGCTGCTGACTCAAAACCAACTTAACAGCACTTAACAATAACAACACAGAACTACAAGTCATCATGAATATCTCTAATATGAAATATTCATAACTTCTTATTGTTGGTTTTTGTTGCTAAGTGCTGTTGAATCAGTTCAAACTCATAGCAACCGTGTATAGCGTTTCCAAGGAGCAGCTGGTAGGTTTAAACTGCTGACTTTGTGGTTCACAGTTCACAGCCTCACCAGGAGTCCACCTGCTTATTAATCTTGTTAGGTCACAGTTTTCTCCATCTGAAAAATGAAGGGGCTGATTTTTATGTATATGCTAAGCTAACACTTGAATGTCTCGCTGCTCGATGTGTCGTCTGTGGACCAGGAGCATTAGCTTTACCTGGGAGCTGGTGAGCAATGCTGAATTTGGAAGCCTGTCTCAGACCTGATGAATCAGAACCCAGGTGACCCAGGTAGACCTTATGATGGAGAACTACAACTCTAACACATCTCTGTGTTTAGTACCTCAATCCCTTAAAAAGTGTCGCTGAAGTAAATGTCTCAATATTACAAAATTGTATTTCTGTGATTATAGCGTCATTAAATCTTCCTTAGTAAGTGTGTGTGCATGCATACACATGCACTTTGAGGCAGAGGAGGGTGTCACGATCAGAGCAGAGGGCAAAAGTCCAACCATACTTCTATATGCCATTCGGAAAGTTGTTAACATGTAGTATGGTTGTTGTTGTTGTTATGTGCAGTGGAGTCGGTTCAGACTCATAGAGACCCTGCACAGGGTTTCCGAGGCTGTAAATCTTTATGGAAGCAGAAAGCCTCATATTTTTCCCGCAGAACAGCTGGTAGTTTCGAATTACTGACCCTGAGGTTCGCAGCCCAATTCGTAACAACAGGGATTAAAGGACATAGTACAATATCCCCTGTCTATATACTCTTAGGAGTAAGCAACAAAATTCATGAAAAGGGCATATGTGTTTGTTTTTTATCCAACCAGCACTTATTGAGAAATTGCTATGGGCCACGCCCTATAATAAAGCATAGGACACAAAGATAATCAGAGCTCTTCAAAGAACTAATAACCTAGTCCACTGGAAGAGGTAGTTGAGAAAATTAGTTATGAGATAATGCTACCATGCTGTGGCTACACATAGGAGGATCACCAAACAAGGCTGGAAGGGTCAAGAACGGTCAAGGAAATAACATGTCTTTGGTACAGGAAGTGATAGGGATCTTGAGTCACTGACGTCTGTTCTGACACCAAACTTGTGGAGAGAAACGCCACAAAAGAGTGAGGCTTGGTGGTAGATGCAGAGAGAAGAAGAAAGTGGATAGAGCCTTTGTGGGGGGCACTCTGCCCCTAAGAAACAGGCTTCAGTAGACCACTTCTGCAGGAAGTATATTCGATCTGGTGAATGGTTTTACCAGTGGATTGTTTCATTTCTTTATTAGATTACACATCTGCTCAAGTGTCTTGAATGACTATAAAGTGGGACATCTTGGCATCTCCAGTCTGTGTACCTCAAAAAAATATCCCCTTCTCTGACTAGGAAGTCTTTGTGGACATTTTTGGTTCCTTCTATCATGTTTTGTGAGGATGGCACAAGACTGGGTAGTGTTTCATTCTGTTGGGCATAGGGTCACTATGTGTTGGCAACTAACAACAACAAAATCATGTTTTGAAAGAGCAGGCAAAGCATAATTTGAGGAAATGGAAAAATATTATATCAAATATTATTATTATATAATTATAACACCCTGTAGCCTAAGCTATAAACTAGGAAACACTAGCTCTCTTCTCCCCCTTTTTCTTTGTCCTACCCAATGGGTCACCAGATTTGATTCATTTCACCTCATATCTTAAATTATTTTTCCTTACCATCCTATGGTCTGTGCCCTGACTTACAGCAGTGGTTCTCAATGCTGACTACATATTGGAAGGGCCTTTGTTGTTGTTAAGTGTCATCGAGTGGGTTCCGACTCATAGTGACCCTGTATATGGTTTTGGAGGAGCAGCAGGTGGCCTTGAACCACCAACCTTGAGGTTCAAATTGACCTTGCAGTCCAGTGCATTACCCTGCAGCAACATAATATAGCTGTCTGCCACCGCCATTTCCATCTTACTTTAACTGGTTGCTTCTATTGGGATGACTTTTTTAAAAAAGCAATTAGAGTTGAGAATGGTTGGATTAAACCCTCCCCATTTCTTAGTTTACACATATGAAATCCAGCTTTAATAGATATTTCTGCCTTCAGTCTAGTTCTTGTCATCTTTCCACCTGTCCACCATCTATTTACTCTGGAACCAAAGTTGTATTGCAAAAACATCAATCAAGGGCTTTACTCTTCTACTTAACAGCCAATCAGACTTCACCTACCTTTGAGTATCATCTTCTGCAACTTCCTTCCCTCCCGTAAACTACACTTGCGTTACACGGAATGATCTGTTGTTCATAAGTAAGATGCATGCTTTCATCCATGCATGTCTAGGTCTTTGCATCTGCTAAGAATGGATTTCTCTGAGAGAAGAGGTGGGGAACTTTTTTTCTACCAAAATGTATAGCATCATTCGTGGACCATACAAAATTATCAACTTAAAAATTAGCCTGCTATATTTGGTCATTTAATTAATTAATTAACTCATTTAATTAACTCACCCATCATATGATAGTTGTAGTTGCCTTGGTAGGACCAGACCAAATGATTTCATGGACCTTACACGGCCCAAGGGCTGGATGTTCCCCACCTCTGTATGGTCCTGCTGATTCCCTGAATCTAGACTTGAACAGTGAGACATTAAACTTGGATTGTTTTAAGCCATCCATTTGTGGTGCTTGGCTATGTCGGCCTAGGACACTAATACAGCTGTCTTCTAACCTCCTATTCTGATTGTTAACCTACAGTTCCTATGGGAACTTTGCACCCTTCTGAACTACGAAAGAAGATCATTTATAATATGACCATTTTAAGCTAAATCCCAGAGTGCTACAATGTTTGTCGGAAAAGTATTTTGTAAGTAATACATCTGGGTCCGGAAATTGCACGTTCCTGAAAAATAGACACTCACTTCTTAGTCATTTCTCCAGTTGCCCGAGGTCATATGAGTATATCATTTTTCCATTTATGATATCTTATTTCAAAATGTTGGTGAAAATGACACCTTTTAATAGGAAATATGAACAAATAAATAGGATTGGTATCCGGTGAAAGTAATTCTTTCCATACCTGTTTAAATAGTTTAATGGCATATGCTCGATTTTGAATCTCCACTTTGTATACCTCAAACATCTCCCCTTCTCCAATTAGGAAGTTTCTGTGGAAATTTTTGGTTCCGTCTATGATGTTCTGAAAGCTGATGGAGGATTTTAGCAATACTCCTTTGGAAGAAAAACCAGAAGGTAACTCAATTTTTCTCCTTTTAAGAATCCAAGACATCATTATAAAGAACCAAGACTACCATTTTAGAAACAGCCCATGAATCATAAGTAAAGTCCCCCAAGAAGGCAGATGCACATTGACTGGGTCTCACTCCCATAATTCCACAAAGTAAGTGGCATTTTTAATATTTGTTTTTGTTTTGTGTATTCTTTCCCTTTGCCTCCCACCCCTGGTCAGTGTCAAAGAACGTTTTTTTCTGGGCGTAAAATTTCTTTGTTTGTTTGTTTTACTTTTTACAATAGTGGTCTGGTATACTATTTGTCCTTTTATAATTGACTAATTTTACTTCTCATCATGTCCTCTAGGTTCATCCATGTTATGGGATGTTTAGCAGATTCATTGTTATTCCATTGTGTGCATGTACCACAGTTTGTTCATCCATGCAGTCGTTGATGGGCATTTAGATTGTTTTCTTTTTTTTTTTGCTCTTGTGAATATGCTGTGATGAACATGGGTGTACATATAACTGTTCATGTCTATTTCTCTAGGATCTGTACCTAGAGTGGGACTACTGGATAATACGGTATTTCTATTTCCAAATCTATAAAGACACACCATTCTATTTTACAGTCCCACCTGGTACCGTAGCGGTTACGAATCGGGCTGAGAATCACAAGGTCAGCAGTTCAAAACTACCAGCTGTTCCTCGAGAGAAAGATGAGGCGTTCTGCTCCC